TGGAGTCCATGAAGAAATGTGAACTTTGTTCTGGAAGTCTTTTCAGGTTGTTCAGTAGGGGAGTGACAGAGTCAGTTTGCATTTTAAAAAAATCTTTCTGGCAGATGTGTAGTAGCTAAGGGTACTCAAATTGCCAGGGTTCAAATCCTGGCTGTGACACTGAATTAGTTCAGGTAGGCTAAATTGCTGTAACAAATAGACCAAAACATTTATAATGGCACAAACACAATAGAAGTTTATTTCTGGATCATGTAACAGTCCAAGGAGGGTGTTTCTTCTTGGCGGGTGGTCCTCCTCCATGTGATGACTCAGGGACCTGGCTTCTTGGGATCCTGCCATCTCTAGGGCCTCATTGTTTTTGGCCTCTAGCTAGTGGAAGGGTAGAGAGACCATGGAGGAGACAGGTTGGCTAATTTATAGATCCTGGATTAGAAGTGGTGTGCGGCCCTTCCGCCACACCTACTGCAAGGGAGGCTGGGAAGTTTACTCTAGCTCCATCCCTGGCAACTCCTCCTATTACATTAAGAGGGTGCCGTCTAATAGAACTTCCTGTGATAATGGAAATGTTCTAGATCTGTGCTTCTAAAATGATAGCTGCCAGCCATATGGTGCTATTGCGCACTTAAAGTGTGGTTAGTAAAATGGAGAGCTGAATTTTAAATTATATTTACTTGTAATTAATTTAAATAGCCACATATGGCTAGTGGCTATGGTATCAGACCAAGCAGCTATAAAGAAGGGAGAGGGTGAATTTTGACCGACAGACAGTGGTCTCTGCCATAGCCATCTGTTAGTTGTGTGATTGACTACTTCAATTTTTCTCTTATTTCCTCAACTGTAAAATGAGTATAATAGTAGTATCTACCTCTTAGGGTGGTTGTGAGGATTAATAAATTATTCAGGCAAAACATTTTATGGCTGGCACAAAGTCAGTGCTCTGCCAGTGTTATCATAGGGATGGCCTGGAGGCAAGGACAGCAGCTAGGAAGTGTACAGTAATTCAGGGGAGAAAGCCCACCAGCCTTACCTCTGAATATTGCCCTTTGCTCCAACCAAGTTATATCACTTGCTCTTCTCCAGACACAACTCCAACACTCATTTCCTCTACATTATGCTCTCTGCTAGACCCACCCATCCCTTCCTATGGAATCCTGCTCTGCCATCAAAGGCAGATTTAGATTTCATGTCTCCATGAGGTCCTCCTGGTCTTTCCAGCAGTGCATGATCCTTGCAGTCTGTGAAGGTCTTAATGCTTTATGTGCACGCCAGGATCACGTCAAGAGTGCTCATCTAGTTGTCTTGAACATTTGTCTAGACAGGAGTGGTTTTTTTGTTTTTGTTTTTCCTATCTCACTACCTTCTACTTCACCCAGTATAAGTCTTTGCGTATTTTGGGCAGGCAACAAATGCCCATTGCAATGAGTTGAATTCATCAAGGGTAGAGAGAGCTGCAAAGACATGTTCCTTGGACAATTAGAGCCAGAGATTATATCTACACAGCACCAAATGAAGCGGGACTTTGGCAATTACCCAGGTCATTAAATCTGTGTAGACATCCAAATGGGAAAATTCAGGCCACCTCATTGGCATGAAGTCTGCAGAATTCTCTTTGACATTTACTCAATTTTTATTCTCCCACATTTCTCTACAAAAATAGCCTTCTAGTTCACATGCCTTTTACCACATGTCTTTTCCTACTGTCTGTTAGACTATTCCTAGCAAAATTCCTGACCAGAAACTGCCAAGAACGGCTGGAACCACTCAACTGTTTGCCTGTACATGGGTCCAATGAACTTTATAAGGATTCAATGATAACAAAGTCACATGGAATCCATCCCATGAGCTCTGTGACCATGGGCAAGCCTAACAGTGTCACTCAGGACTATCTTGTGCCTCTTGTGACATCAACCTCAAAATCTTAAGGATATTCCCCACATACACTAGATTCTCTTAAGAATTCATTAATTAAGTCTTAATTAATCAATGAATTTATGTAGACCTTTCCATTTATTCATTCAATAATGAGTTCCTGCTCTGTGCCAGGATTATTCTGATGTTTAGAATATGAAACCATGTTTCTATTTCCAGGGAGCTTTCATTCTAGTTGGGTGGAAAGAAAATCAACAAATATATGTTAGATGGCAGTAAGTTATATGAAAAGAGAGAAAGGAGGGTATCTCTTATCTGTTGCTATATAACAAATCACCCCAAAACTTAGTGGTTTAAAACATCACTTCATTATTTCTCATGGATCTGTGGCTTGGTTGGGTTCATCAGTGTGGTTATTCTGCTGCAACCTTCCCCTGGGCTCACTCATGAGGTTGTGAGCCCATTCAAATGTCTGGGGCCTCAGTGTTGGCTGTTAGACAGTCCTCTCATTCCACATGGTTCTCATCATGGGTTTTCTTACATGGTGGTGGGAGCACTCCAAGAGAGAGAAGGCAGAGGCTGTGAGGTCTCTTGTGACTTAGGATCACATCATGCCATGTCACTTCCACTTCATTCTATCCCATTCTCGAGGTAGATGCCATCTTTCGAGAGGGGAAGCTGCAAAGAAATTGTGGCCACTTTTCATCTACCACACAGGATAAGGGAATAGTGAATGACAGGATGTCCTATTTTAAATAGAGTGGTCGAAGAAGGCCTTTCTGTTAAGGTGTAATTTGGACAGAGACCCAAATGAAGTACAGGTATGAGCCACAAAATATCTGGGGGGGGGAAGAGCATTCTAGGCATATGGAATAGCAAGGAAAGTCTCTGAGGCCAGGTCAATTCAATTATTTGCATTTGAGATAAAAATGCAATATGAAGGCTTTTCAATATGGAGATACTTCTGTATCATATATGGGCAATCTAGTTTTCCTCGGGGAAGAGTAGAGAATTCCTAAGTGACCTAAGCCAAGTTGAGGGGGGAACACTTGATTTTGAAACACTGAGATGTGAGAATGAATCATTTATGCAATTTAACACCAAAAAGAGGCCATCGACTTCATCCCTACTGTCTCCATCCTCTACTCTCCCGGCCTGATTTTCTAGGCATCTCCTGTAGCCCCTGGTAGAACTCCAGGAACTCCACAGTCTGAAAATTCTTCCCTGCTTCCAACTCCAATACCTCCGGTTTCAGTCAAAGTGCTTTGCACACATCCTGGCCTCAGCTTGACCACATCCTTCACACAGCCTGTGGGAGACTCTCTATGAACAAATCAAGGTTTGACGCACAAGAGGCAAAGGTGTCTGACTCACTAAAGAACGGAGCAGAGCGGAGCAAAGCAGGAGGGGTTTTATACTGTAATTACCCAAGATCGCCAAGACAGTCTGAGGGTAATCGGGTAATTAGTGTGGTGTGTGTGTGTGTGTGTGTGTGTGTGTGTGTGTGTGTGTGTGTGTGTGCAGTGGGGGACAATTATCTGGCTCACTGGCTGCCAGACGCTTGTCACTGCTCTTCTGGCCCTTGGGCTGGGTTCCTGGCTCTACCTGCAGACTATTAGGTGTAATGACCCTGTCACACAGAGGAGCCTGTCATTATCTCCGTGTTAACATGGTATTTATCCACAAAACTCTGCCAAGTCACTCTAATTAAAGGACCTCCACGTGGTCCCCCTGCCTTGGCATTGGACGGCTATGAAAGTTGTCAAGGCAGAGGTTGCTTTAACAGTCTGAGGAGATGAGCTGGGGGCATCCTGGGAGACTCAAGAGAAATGCTATGGAGTCCTCCTCAACCCCTTGTCAAAACCTGGGATCATGTACCCTAGCAAAAGAACTTTAGGGGCATCAAGCTACCCCCACCCAAATCAGACACATTTCCACATGAAGATAACTCATTGACTACTGAGTAAAACAAAAGCCAACTCACAATTTTGAAAGTTGATATCTCTTCTGAAGTCTCTTGTAGTGATGGCAGAGAGGGAACACATCACATCACATTAGGTAAAACCCACTCTTTATGATCTCCCTCAAAACTCAAACACCCGCCTCTCTCTGAGGGGCTCCTCTGCCTTTGGGCCTCTTTTCTATTATCACAAGCAATTCTAAATCTTTTCTAATGAAAACCAAAGTTGCCTCTTCTGTTCCTCCTCTTTCCCTTTGTCCTGTCATCGCCTCCAAGGGCACAACACAGAAAGCTCCTTAAAAGAATCAAAGGAGCAAAGCCGTGATCACTTATGAGTCAATATTCAGCTCCCAGCGCTTAAGCAGTGCTATTATGAGTGTCCTTATACAAATATCTTTACCCACAGGTATAGGCTTTTCTGCAGGGTAAATTCCTAGACTTAGAGTACCTGTATATGAATCATTTAATTTGAAAAGATGCTGTCAAATAGTTTCTAAAAGGTTGTACACATTTAAATTCCCACTAATAGTTTATCAGAATGCTTGTTTCCCCACATCCTTGCTGTCTTGGGTTGCTACCCCCTTTTAAAAATTACCCTTATTATTTTTTGATTATATATGCGATGAATTTTCATTCTTTAAAAAATAGAAAAATGAAGAAAAGGGAGAGAGAAAATAAAGATTAGTTGCCAGATCATCACCCAAAGAGAAGAAGCACTACCCATTTAATAGAAGATGACAGCAAAAGCCACAGATAGTTAAGGTAGTCACCTGAGGAACCTTCTGGAAGCCATAGTGACAAGATGTGGCAAGTGGTGACAAGATGTTAAAGATCACCCAGTTCTCCTCTGATGTCTCCAAAGGCTTGAGATACTTTCTTCAGCTGGGGGGACTATTCTGAGAGAGATGGTTGCAGGTATCCACACCCCTGAAGTGTGTCTCCCCACCTCCGAACAGTTCTGCTGCCAGAAAGCTTCCAAGTCTGAGGATTTGCAGAATGGGAATGGAGCACAAACATTTCAAAAATGTGTTTCCAGACATTGGCAGCAGGATCCAACAGATTGGAAAACCCATCTCCCTGGCCAATCCCAGAGCCAACTTTCCATTTCTCAGGGACCCTGACATGCCCCATTATGCCTTTGCACTAATGACGGCTCTACTTTCCATTCCAGAGACTTGAATTATAACGAGCTGCAAGAGTTCCCCGTGGCCATCCGGACCCTGGGCAGACTGCAGGAACTGTAAGCTCCTCTGGTTTCTGTGGGTGTCCTCCTCTCCCAGTGCAGGGGCTGAGCCCAGCTGGACCTCCCTATTCCCTCACCTCCTCACCACCCACGGCCCTTGTAAAAGATGGAGCTGCCTACTCTCCCCAGCTCCAGTGCAGTTCTAAGCAGTCCTGGACCTCATTAGCTTGGCTTTGAGCATTTCCTCGGGGTGTATCATCAGCAGAAATGGCCCTGGACCCTTTCAGCCTGGGAAAACACATAGCACAAGCCACTTCCTATTAGCCTGGACCTGGCACTGCCCCTGCCTTGGTTGGTGTGTGTCCAGAATGAGGAGCTAGGTGCTGGTTTATGGGGTCACTCCTCAGTACCTTGTGCCCAGGAGGACTGAGAAGTTGGCTCTGGTTCCCCACACTCACTACTTATTATTTTATTTCAGCATTCACTGAGTACTCAGTGTGCCCAACACTGTGTTTGATGGTAAACACAAATGAAGGATCAGATTGACATGAGCTCACCCAAGGATCCTTCAGCCTCACTGAGGACACAAAGCAACATATGTAAAACAGGGAATAGGACAGAACGATATCTAATTCCAAACATATGCCAGGTGCAGTGGCTCACACCTGTAATCCTAGCACTTTGGGAGGCAGAGGCAAGAGGATTATCTGGGTCCAGGGGTTCGAGACCAGCCTGTGCAACTTGGTGAGAGCTTGTCGCTACAATAAGTCTTAAAATTAGCCAGGCACAGTAGCACACACCTGTAGTTCCAGCTACTTAGAAGGCTGAGGCAGAAGGATCACCTGAGCCTAACAGGTCAAGGCTGAAGTAGCCATGATCGTGTCACTGCACTCCAGCCTGGGTGACAGAGTGAAACTCTTACTAAAAAAAAAAAAAACTCAGCCATAAATTTGGTAGCATTAGCTAAAACAATGGTGGGAGTTCAGAGTAACATGGAAAGATTATTGAGGAGTGATCCTGAGATTGGCCTTGAAGGGTGAATGGGATTGAGGTGGCAATGTTGGGGAAGGAGGAGAGGTAGAAATAATGAGGACAGAGGCCCAGAAAGGAAGCTGAGCTACCACAGGGATGAGCACAGGTGGGAGAGTGACCTTCCTGGACAGAAGTGCTCAGAAAACAGCAAGAGCGTGATAGTACCACTAGAGTGGGACCAGATTAAGGGGACCTGCCGGTTCATGAACAGAGCCCAGAACTGTCAGGCATCACAGCATCTTTATAGCTCAAACGACCACATAAGACCTATAGAAGCAGTGCCATTCCATCCCCCTCACTCTATCCAGAAGTTTGAAATTGTGATTTTAACACCAAATGCAAGTAGCAGGTAAGCACTGGACCAGCTAGGGGAAACAGTCTGCATAAGAAACTATGGGAAGTTCTCCGTTGCCAAAGAGTCACCAGTGTGTGATTTTTTTCCTTTTGAGCTGGGACATGAGAGAAGGATGAGATTTGAGCAATCAAGAGGGCATGGAGGGAACAGGGCATGCAGGAGCATTGAGACAGGAAAAAGTACAGTGTGAGGGAAGAGAGAGCAGAGACCTAAGTTAGCAGCAGCAAGAAGATACATATATAGAGGTGTATGTGTCTATTTATCTATCTATTATCTATCTATCTATCTATCTATCTATCTATCTATCTATCTATCTATCTACCTACCTACCTACCTACCTATTATCCACCTATCTTATCTATCATCTATCTCTTCTGTCTACCCTATCTATCTATCTATCTTTCTTTCTATCTATCTATCTATCTATCATCTATTCTTCTATCTATCCATCTATCCTCTATCTATCATCATCATATCTATCTATCAAATCTGCTTGGAAACAGAGCCTCTGTTTTATAAAATTCTAAATTGCTCAGAGCTTGGCCCAACATTAGACACAAAGGGGTGTTCAAATATATATATATGAATGCAAGGGGTGAGTAAATGAACAAACAGTCCTGGGTGGGCAGCCCTGGCCAGAGGTGTTGTGAGTGAGAGATCACGAAGGTAAAAGTTGTGATGGGACAGCCAGGAGGAAGAGAGAGGTGAGCAGAGGCCAGAGGACACAAAGAGAAACCAGAAACTTCCACTGAAAAAGAAAGGTGACAGAAAGGGGCCTGCTGAGCACAGGTTATGTGCTTTTCAGTCCAACATGTGTTTTTTTAAAAATATTCTTCCCAACTAATCAAACATGTAATCCCTGGCTTCCAGACTCCCAAACCCTCAGCTGGGTGCCTCATTCCTCCTTTACTCCTTGTGCGTTCACAGTCATTCACCATGCAGTTCTGTACCTTATCCCCCCTACTGCTATTGACACTTCTGTTTCTCCATTTCAAGGCCTTGAGACCAAGCCAACCTCAATTTGAGGAACATCCCAGAGGATTCCTAAAATCCCTGGAAGCTCTGTTTTTTTCTGCATTCTCCTTTATTTTTAAGAGACTAGGTCTCACTATGCTTTCCAGCCTGGTCTTGAACTCCTGGCCTCAAGTTATATTCTCACTTTGACCTCCCAAAGCACTGGGATTATAGGTGTGAGCCACCATGCCTGGTCTTGCATCCTCTTTTTCCTCCCACACACACTTAGCTTCCTCTGTGGGAACCCACCAGAGCTCTTGCCACGAGTGTCTAAGGAGAGGATTCCCCTCTTGGGACTGGCACTCACCCTCAGGCTCTTGAGTTACTCCCACAGGCTTCCTGAGGCCTGCGGCCTGGGCCTCCCTCCCTCGCTCTTTTCACATTTGTTAGGGAAAGGATAGATGTGTAATTGAACAAAGCAGAAAAATCACAGGCAGCATCTGAACCTGGAATCTCCAAGCCAGTGTCCCTTTTGTCTCACGGTCTGTCTGGTTAGCTGTCCAAAAGCCCCATAGAATTCCATGTCCTCCCCTCTCCACACTTTGTTCCAAGTCCTCAGGCCTCTGAGGTGTTGTCTTCCAGGGGATTCCATAACAACAACATCAAGGCTATCCCAGAAAAGGCTTTCATGGGGAACCCTCTACTGCAGACGATGTGAGTATTACTTTTCTGGTCTCCTGCTGCTGAACAGTGTTTGTGGGAGGAGAATGGAGGTTGTGGAGGCAAGAGGGACTTCTCTAGAAAGCACCAGAGGCAGAAGCGTGGGAGGGGAGGATGGGAACTCTGTGTTCTCTCCTGGGTCTACATTGGTAGGAGAAGAAAGCAGAGATCGGCCTTTGTCTTAGCAGAAAGGGCTGAAAAACTGAATCAGGTATTTGGGCCTTTTTCTTCCAGACACTTTTATGATAACCCAATCCAGTTTGTGGGAAGGTCGGCATTCCAGTACCTGCCGAAACTGCACACGCTGTAAGTTGGCACTGAAGGCTGAAGGCTGCTGCAGCCTGGACCTCTCCCTCTCCTCACTCCTCCCTGCTCTCTCCTACCCTCCCACCTGCAGATCACTCACCTGCAAGCATAACCCCACTGCAATACACAGCCCCTCTGCAAGGTGTGGTTTTCAGGGCTGCAGGCCTCTGCTCTGCTCAGACCTATTCCACATCTGTCTAGACTTCATGGCTTCCTCCACCTCCCTGACCTATGGTTGCTTCCCAGATTTCAAAAGAATGAAGAGGACCCTTCTCGGTAGTCAAGGAGTCATATCTGGTCTCTTTGGTTATAGCCTGCTCATGGTAACTATTCCATAAATGATAGGATAAGGCTCTGAATACTGTGTATTCTCAAGACTTGTTCTCCAGTGGTCTTGGAGCACAGCTCTTGGGCCCCTTACTGTGCTATCATTACCCTTGGGCTGCAGATGCTCTTTTACTTCCTCTCTCTTATTCTTTCAATTCCAAGCCCAAGTCTCACTTCTTCATAGAGCTCCCTGGATTTCTCTCAGCGTGCTGTGGCACCACAGTCACATAGCTGACACCCCCATGTCTGTTGCATTTCGTCTTCATCCCAACACTGAGGGAGGTGTTTCGGGTCCATTTTACAGGTAGAACACGAGATGCCCAGCTCCTGCTCATGCAGGAACCTAGAACCCTTAACTTCAGATTCTGGACTTGTTTTGGGTCCCATGCTGCATCCTCACAGTGCTCAACAACTCATGTTTTTGTGCTCCTGTTGTGTGTGGGCCTTATATCATCCGTGTCCTCAGTTAGACAGGCCTGGTGGGGAAGGGGAAACCCTCAGTCTAAAGCAGTTTAAGAGAACTGGCAGAGAGGTTCTAATAAAGCCCTAGCAGATGACAGATGAGAGGAGACCCTCTCTTAGGCTCTAATGAGCAAACCCCAGCAGCCAAGCACATTTTCAGAAGCACCCAAGCTATTGCCTGTTAAACAGAGGCGAGTCCCATGTTGCTTGCCTGTGTTGCATTTTTCCAAATTGAGGCTGAACTCTGAGATTGCACAGCTCTTTCTGGGCTAGGGTGTGCTGAGCAAACTTAAGAAAATGGCTGGTTGGATCCTCCTAAGCATGGTTCAGCCTCCATCAGATTATAAGGAGGAATGACATTTCCCCAAAAGGCGGAGTCCTTGAGGGGAGAGAAGACTGAGAGTAGTGAACCTGGATGTTGAGATGCTCTGACTCCACTCCTCAGACCTCACTGTCTATTTCTAGATCCCTGAATGGTGCCACGGACATCCAGGAGTTCCCAGACCTCAAGGGCACCACCAGCCTGGAGATCCTGTGAGTGAATTCTCTCTCCCTTCACCTTATCTATCTCCCCAGCTTCACCCCCAAGAGCTTTTCCACCTTCCTTCCCCCAAAGACTGTCCAGACTCTTTGCTTCCCCCTTATCTGGCCTACCTCAGTCTCAGGGGTCCAGGGCCACCACCTGACATGGCACTGCCTACAGGCAAGGCCAGGAGGCGGCAGGTGGTGGGGGTGGAGGAGGAGACTGGTCTTTTTCTCTTTACCATGCTTGGAATTTCCAGGCATGACTTCAGAGTCCCTAGCCCCAAGCCACGCATTTACTGAGGACCTGTGACAGGGAGGGGGGTTTGTGAAAACCTATCTCCTCTGCCTTTCTGAAGTTTGACTCCAACAAAGATGTTCTTGTATTTTCTATTATTATATTCTGTGGAGCGGTGGAAGTGAATGCCAGAACACAATAGGCCCTCAATATGTTTAAATGAATGAATGAAGCAAGCAGACACCCAGAGTGAGTTCAGGAAGTCAACTGCCCTGCCTCCCAAATCTCATTCATGCCATTGCTGGGGCTGGAAAGCTCTCCTCTGTTGTCTTCCCCCTAGATTCACTGATATGTGGAAAATTTTCCACGAGGGAAGCAGTAGTTCCCAAAAGCTGACCATGGCCTTGGGTCCTTCCTGGGACACCATCTCCCTAAGCCAAGCCTGTTCTCCAACCTGCCCCTACAACCCCTCTCTATCCCAGTTCCTGGTTCTTCCCTTCTTTCTCATCTCTTCTCTCTCCCCCAAGGTACAGGGCCCAAACTCTGTGCTTGGTTCCCATGGTTCCACCAGGGTTTTTTTTCCTATCTACTTTCAGCCCATGTTCTCTCTCCTCTCAAGGATCCCTAAAGCAGAGAAGATTTTTGTCCCTGTCCTACAGGCCCAGTGCTTCTGGGGACCATTATGAGACACAGGTGGAGATGGGATCAGGGTGGGTGGGGATGGGACAGGGTGAATCAGGTAGGGCTGGGTGTGCAGGGACTGGCTGCCAAGCAGAGCCCCTGGGCTGGGCCCTCTCTCCACTCCCTGCCCCAGCTCCTCCAGGCCCAAGGGAGTTTAGCACTCAGATGCCAGAGCCTGCTCCTTTTCTGTTCCCGTAGCCCCACCCCCTGCCCTGTCTTTCCCTCTGCTTCTCTCTTTTGTTAGCTCTGTCGTCCCATGACAGTATCAGGCCCAGAGCTGGAGACGGGTGGCTGGGAATGGCAGGGCCCCGGGCCGGGTGCCAGCTCTGTCTCTGTTCTCCCTGCAGGACCCTGACCCGCGCAGGCATCCGGCTGCTCCCATCGGGGATGTGCCAACAGCTGCCCAGGCTCCGAGTCCTGTGAGTGCTCACAAGCATTCTACAGTCTTGGCATTGTGCCCCTGCCCCCATGTCCCACAAAAGGCCTCTCCTGCTTCTGTCCCACTTGGTCACATCTCTTCCTGGAGAGTAGAGCAGCGTAGGCTCCTACTGAGAGCCCGCCCCGGAGGGACTGGGCTATCCTCTCTTGTTCAGAATGAAAAGACAATGATCTTTGGAATCAGACCTGGCTTTGAGGCCCAACTCTGCCACTTAATAGCTGTATTGATTTGGGTGCCTTTAATGTCTCTGAGCTTCAAATAAAATGTAGGTCAATTTGTGAAGGTTGAAAAATATATGTAAAGCACCTAGTGCATAATACCAATAAATGACATTATTACTCTAATTTATACAAGAAAATGAATCATTTCTGGGACCAGGGAGTTACTTTGGCCTCTGAGGACCTCTCTCCTTGGATTCCAATTTGACTCCAGATCCCCGGTCCAGGGCTCTTCACAAACAGTGTGTCAGTTCGTCTTGAGCTTGAGCTCCTCACCAACTCAAGATGAACTGACACACAAGATGAACTGACACACAGTGTATGAGAGGAATCCTAGACTGGGGATCTGGAGACACAGGCTCCAGACTCGGCCTTGACACTGACTGGCCTCAGCTTCCTCATCTGTTAAGTGAAGGGGTTGGGCCAGATGTCCCTAAGGGCCTCGAGTACTGATCTTCCCTCCCAACCCCATAAATGGTGATGGCAGGTATATGGGTCGGCATTGATCAGCTTGCACAGTAAGGCCTAATGTGTTCTCACAGGGGCTCTGGATCCAGCTGTTTGCCTCTTTCCTCATCACCATGACCCTGTCACTTCCTGTTCCCCTTCCCCCAAGACCCTCCCAGGGTCTTCATAAGGTAGCCCTGTTGGAAAATTCCAAGTCAGTCCCATCCAAGGCTGGTGAGGAGTGGTACTCAGCAGGGGGAGATGCAGAGAAGGCTAGATGAGGAAAGTGGTAAAACTGGTACCCTGGTGTGAGGTGTGTCAACAGCCATGTCCCTGCCAGGCCTCCACGGTCCTCAGCGACTTGACAAGAAAGTGCAGCCTGGGCCAGAGGCCCCTCACACCAAGACCTCACATAGCCAGTGCTTCACCCTGGCCATGGTTTCTCTTTTCCCCAGGGAACTGTCTCATAATCAAATCGAGGAGCTTCCCAGCCTGCACAGGTGTCAGAAGTTGGAGGAAATGTGAGTCTGAGGGCAGGGGAGAGGTAAAGGAATGCATGCTGACCTCTGGGCAGGTTTGAGGGAAAGGGGTCAGCAAGGGCTGAAGCACATTCTGACATTAATTCCTTCTCCAAGTTTGTCGAACCTAGGGGTTAGGGCTGAGAGATGATGGGCCCGATAGTTGGTACCTGAAAGGAGTCTCCAGGTGGCTCCTTATGAGACAATAGCAACACAGAAATGCAATCCTGTCAGGGGCAGTGGAGGGACAGAGCCACTTTAGAGTTCAGTGGTCAGGAGGGAGGAAGGCTTTAAGGAGCTGGAAGCACGCTGCATTTCGGAGCACACTCTCTTGTTTTCCACATATGTGGAAGAGCAAACCTGGGATTCAAAGTTCACAAAGAACAAACCACTTTTAAAAAAAAAAATGGCTGGGCTTGGTGGCTCAGCCTGTAATCCCAGCACTTTGGGAGGCTGAGGTGAGTGGATTGCCTGAGTCCACAGGTTCGAGACCCATCTGAGCAATTTGGTGAGACCTCTCTCTACAATAAATTTTTAAAAATTAGCCAAGTGTGGTAGCACACGCCTGTAGTTTCGGCTACTTGAAAGGCTGAGGCGGAAGGATCACCGGAACCCAGCAGGTCAAGGCAGCAGTGGCCGGGAGTATGCCACTGCATTCCAGTCTAGGCAACAAAGTGAGACTCCAACTCAAAAAACAAACAAACAAACACACAAACAGAACTATTGTCTAAGCTGTATTCACCCAGCTCCTGTTTTCTCAAGTTAGTCATGGCCTCCTGAGCCTCCCTGTGCTTGTCTCCTGCTTCTAGGCAAGACTGTGCCTTTGGGGTCAGCTGGGGTAAGGTAAAGGGATGAGGGTCTGTCCTGTTTGTCTAGGTGCCAAAGGAAGGAGGATCTTCCACATGGCCGAGGCCCAGGGTCCATCTCCCATTCAGACAGCCAGTGTACTGAGCTCTGCTTCCCTGCTTGGGCCAGTCGCTTGGGCTGTCCAAGGGCTAGGCGGTGCTCTGCTGCTGGGCTAGGGTCTGGAGGACCCATGGTGATGGGGAGGTGTGGGGGCAGTCTGGCTGGGCTGGGAGCCAGGCCCAGTGGGAACACTGGAAGCTGACTCCCTTCTGGGCCACAGGGATGGTTTTGTGGCTTTGTCTCCTGACCCACTTACCCAAGGCAACCGGATCCCCTTGTGCTCCCTTTAATTCTGGTGACTTCCTCGGGCTGGGCCCTTTCTTCCTGTGCCAGGAGAAGTGGGGGGCTCTCCTTTCTTCCTCCCAGTGCTCGGGGGGCATGGAGCGGAGCCAGGGTCTGAGCCTGCCGGCTCATCCAACCTCTCTTGCTGCCCTAGCGGCCTCCAGCACAACCGCATCTGGGAAATTGGAGCTGACACCTTCAGCCAGTTGAGCTCCCTGCAAGCTCTGTGAGTACCCGCAGCACCCAGGGGTGGGCCATGGAGGAGCTGCGCTGTCCCTCTGCCAGGCATGTGCACACCTATAACACGTGTACGGTTTAAGCAGACGTGATATGCCCATTGCCAGCCTGGTCTACAACCCCCACCCTCAGCATACACACACAGGAAGAGAGGTGCCTCCTCGTCCAGGTGGCTTCTCAAGCTATTTCTCCAGCTAGTACCCAGGGGGCCATAAGACTCTGGAGTCAAGCTGCCATGCCCCAGTTCCTGGGGCCACAACTAGGTCAGGAGCTGAGCAGTAGCCGGTGTGGTCCCCAGATGGCCACTGGGATCAGGTCAGGTGGGGGGGTGGAGTATATGAGGGAGAGCCTCTGATGGGAACAATAGTCCTCTCTATGTCATTGTCCTCTCCAGTCACACTCTCTTTGCCCACAGGGACCTCAGCTGGAATGCCATCCGGTCCATCCACCCTGAGGCCTTCTCAACTTTGCGCTCCCTGGTCAAGCTGTAAGTGCCCGCTGCACCGCCCTCCAGGGTTCAGGGGACCAATCAGGACTATGCGCTGGCCAGTGGGGGTAGGAGGGCCACCCCAAAGCAGGAACATGCATACAAGTTTGGTCACATATCCCAGGGAGATGGGCCACAGCCTCATCCATCATTCTAACAGTCCACTTGACAGACCGTGGGGCCTGATAAACAGAGAGCCTACCTCTTGCAAGCTCTGGAACATCATCTGCTAATGTTCTGCAATGTTTTGGCAGCCTCAGCCCTCCTCATGCCCTCTGCCCTGGCCCCTCCTGCAGCTTTTCTGTGCACCAATAAAGAGGATGGATAGATGGATGGGCCTAGAACTCCTTCACACACAGGAGGGTGGCGACAGATGTGGGGGCTCAGAGAGCTCAGGGGCCTCTGCTTGAGCATGACTCTAGAGGGCTGCCATTCTGTCGGGCAGCAGGGGACCTCAGATCCCCTAAATTACACACGATGTCAGCAGTGAATGAGCAGTGCTGGCTACATGGTCATTATGTCAGGGCTGGAAGGGGCCTCTGGTGGGGCTGCCACACACTGTGGAGCAGGTTATTCACTGCACAAGGGATCCTGCCTAAGGGGGAGCTGACATCCTCCCGCCTGCTTGCCAACCTGTGTGTCTTAAAGGCGTGTCTGACCAGACTGGGCTCTCTTCTGGCTGACACAAAGACTCCTTTGGCTAGCTCCAGTCCTGGCCTCAAATCTCATCCAGCCCACTTCACAGGTGAGGGCTCTGAGGCCTGGGGGAGAGGCTTGCTCAAGCCCAGAGCCAGAGCCCAGGGCCCAGTGGTTCATGGCTCCTCCCCAGATGGCTCTCTGGGCTCTGGGCCGTAGCTTTGCAAAACCCTTACCTCCGTCGTCCCTCTCCTGTTTGCTCTAGTCTTGCCAATTAGGTAGGGTAGATATTTTTATCCCTTTGAAAGATGAGGACATTGAAACTCAGGCAGATTTGTGGCTCCCCTTGGTTACACAGTGAGTTGGTGACAGCGCCAGGTTTCCTGCCTTCCAGTCCAGGGCTGTTTCCACGACGCACAGTCTGTGGTCGTGGTGTTTGGTTTGGAGCCCTGGCTTCCTCTAATGCGTCTCCGGTAGAAGACCACGTATGTCCTCACCTCTGGCTACAAAGCAGGCCCTGCAAGACGGAATGGATGACCCAATCCTTGCTCGTAGCCAGAGGTCCAGTTCTGTCCAATTCTAGCCCCTGGCTTCTTGTATCATCAAAAAATCTGGGGGAAAGGAGGGGGGATGGGGGGAAAACAACAGGAAGGTTGCCCAAGGGGGGTGGGCAGAGATTCCCAGGTAGTACTCAGACTTGGGCACAGGAGCTGTGGTTGGGGAGCTCTGTTACCTACAAATTGGGACAGCTTGGCATTAAGTCAGAACAGTGTCTGATACATAGATGGTACCCAATATTTGCTGAATGAATGAATGAACAAGTTGTAATGGTACCGCTAGCAGCTCTTGGCCGCTCTCCTCCCCAGCATTCAATGCTCTCTTCTAAGCTTATCTTCTGTCCTTTGATCCTCTCCTCTTGCTTCCATCCCAGGCACCCTGGCCACACTCTCAGCACAGCCCTGCCCCCTCAGCAATCCCACTGACTGCCAATAACCCTGACCATCCACTGTCCTAGGGACCTGACTGACAACCAGCTGACCACACTGCCCCTGGCTGGACTTGGGGGCCTGATGCATCTGAAGCTCAAAGGGAACCTGGCTCTATCCCAGGCCTTCTCCAAGGACAGTTTTCCAAAATTGAGGTGAGGGCCTGATATTTCCCTTAGATAGGTTTAGCCTGGGTGGCTGGAGGCCATGGAGGGACAGGGGAAAAGCCACAGGGGCTCACCTTGAGAGTAGCCTAGTGGTTTAGGGTTTGGCCAAGACTGAGTGGGAAGGGCTCAACCAACCTTCTGCCAGCCCAAATGGGGTCTGGCACGTATCTCCCCTTCCTCCTTGCCTCCCTGTTCCCCCTACCAACACTAGGGGACACTCGGACCTGTGAGGATGCAAAGACCTCCGGCCCTCCTCACTCTTCACCTGGTTCCACACACCCAGATTGTCCATCCCCACTTGGGTAGCATCTGAGCTCCTAGAATCAGGGCAGAGCCCCAGGCACTGATGAGTGGAAAACAAGCTGCACAGCCAGTCCCTGGTGCTAATGACATCCAGGCCTCTTCCACAAGCAGCAGCAGCCGTGCAGCCTGTGTGGCCCAAGCCTTGTCTGCTGCAAACTAATGAGATGCCCTGAGGCACTGGCCCTCACCCTCAGGGGCACCAAATCCAGCTCCAATATACCCAGAGCTGGGGTTGAGGGGGCAGGATGTGGGTCTCACTGAGGGCCAGGGTAGAGTCACTAGGAGAATCTCTGTTTCCTTACATATAAAAGAAGAGGTGCTGCCTGGGAGGGGGAGTAGAGCACTCTGACTGCCTTGTGACCCTGGGGAAGCTCCTCCTCGCTCTGGGCCTGCTGAGTGGACTCCTAGAACAATGGGCAGAAAGTTTCTGTCCCCATCTCAGTTATCAAGATGAATGAGGAAAATCCTGGAATACGTCCTGAGCCCCTCAGAGGCAGGAATCAGCTGTAAGATCCTAGCAAAGAAAGACCAGGATACTGCCGGCACAGCGATCAGGGCACTTGAGGCTTGAAGGGCGGGCACTGAGTGCCCAGCACCTGGACTGGGGGTTTCTGAACTCAGACTTAGGCCTTAGACCCCAAGTGTGCTGAGACAGTTCATCATCTGTCCCCTTCTCTCCCAGGATCCTGGAGGTGCCTTATGCCTACCAGTGCTGTGCCTATGGCATGTGTGCCAGCTTCTTCAAGGCCTCTGGGCAGTGGGAGGCCAAGGACTTTCACCTTGATGATGAGGAGGCTCCAAAGAAGCCCCTGGGAGTCCTTTCTGGACAAGCAGAGAACCACTGTGAGTCACCAGGGCCCTGGGCTGGGCAGGATGAGGAGCTGTGAAGAGGAAAGTTAGAGGGGACGCTTGGGAGACCCGAGAGGGGATCTGACAGGGGCTGCAGGAGGAAGCCCTGCCGAGGTGGTGGGAGCTACTTGAGGCCTGGGAGGACACTGCCTTTGTCTGCACTGCGTGTCTCCAAGGCTACCCCCAGAGGTGCTGGGGAAAAGAAATGATGGTCAAAGGGCCGTAGTAATGTCTCAATATTTGCCTGGCCTTTGCAATCCACAAAGCGCCTCCCATGTACGATCTCACTTAATACCCCTGCCTTGTGGCTCACGAGGGCATTCTCAGAGAGGACAAGATGTATCAATCTGAGCCAAATAGGGTTGAATTAAATAAATGGAATTAAACCTGCTTCCCCTCACAATATGTCCTAGAACCAAAAGGAACAATGTAGGGATTTTTGTTGTCCAAGTCCATCCTATGTCTCTCACATGCCTTATAAATCTGAAAGTGAGACTTCCATGGCCACCAGGGGCAAGAGGTCCTTGCTGAGGACTGTCACAGCAAAGGTGGTCTTGGGCCAGATCTGTCCGTGTTTCCGGAAGAGTCAGGATAAAAGTCGAAGGTTGGAAGCAAGCCAAGGGGATTCTGAGGGATGTCTACTAGGTGGTACCTTAAATAAACGGCAGCGAGGAGAGCTTCCCTTTCCCCTTCCCCATGTTACAGAACACAAGCAGGATTAGGAGGGAGAGAAAGAGAGCCCCTGCTTTTCTGTTTGTTTTCCATCTCTGACTCACTCTGTACAGTATCTCAATGGAGAAGCTAAACAACAGTAACAAAAATCCAATCTCCACATGTAAGAAAAATCTCTTGACAATGGAGACAGAACTTGGGTCCGAACCTAACTGCAACATTCTCTCTTTTTTTTTTGAGTTGGAGTCTCACTCTGTTGCCCAGACTGGAGTGCGGTGGCATGTTCCCAGCCACCGCAGCCTTGACTTGCTGGGCTCCAGCGATTCTTCTGCCTCAGCCTTCCAAGTAGCTGGAACTACAGGCGCGCACTACCACGCCCAGCTAATTTTGGATTTATTGTAGAGACGAGGTCTCACCAAGTTGCCCAGGCTGGTCTCGAACCTGCGGGCTCAGGCAATCCACTTGCCTCGGCCTCCCAAAGTGCTGGGATTACAGGCTGAACCACTGAGCCCAGCCTACAACATTCTCTTGGTTGTCTTGGACAAGTCATTTAACCTTACTGAGTCTTGACTTCCATTTGTCTATTTATTTATTTAATTTTTAAATTCGGGGTCTCACTCTGTCACCCAGACTGGCATACCGTGGCGCAATCATAGCTCACTATAGCCTCAAACTTCTGGGCTCAAACAATCCTCTCTTCTAAGCTTCCTGAGTAGCTGGGACTACAGGTGCACACCATGATGCCTGGCTAAATTTTTGCTATTTTGTAGAGACAAGGTCTTCCTATGTTGCCTAGGCTGGTATCTTTAAATAAGAAAGATGATGTGTACCTCATTGGTTGTTGCAGAAGATTAGAAGATCTATAATTTATAAAGTATGCTCACTACTACTGCTGCTCCTACTACTGAGAAGTGGTGCCTTGTGGCATACATGTATAGGGAGAGTGTGGTTGTATAGGCCAGGGCACAGTTTGTGGAGGCCAAATGTTGGACAGGCAGGCAATCTGGGGCCTCTGAGAGCCTCCCTCCCCATGTACCAAAGACCTCCTCAGGGAGGGCATGAGGACCCGATGGGGAGGAGCCCAGCAGCCTGTCTGGCTCTGGGCCAGCAGACGGCTGTCCCTGGGGGACATTCCCGGATGTCTGCTGTACACTCCCTCAGGGGGCTGGACGGAGGAATGGAAACTTTGCTTCCCCAAGGTGAAACTTTCCGCCGGGCTTAGGTCTTGGAGAACCACAGGGCGTCGAGATCGTGGGCTGCCTGCCGCCTGTAACGGGAGCTAGGGCAGGGCCCCCTACTTCCTGTGGGAGCTAATGAGCCTCGAGAAGGAAAGCCAGGGGCTGCTGCTCCAGCCAGATTTGATTTCCTCCTCGTTTGAAGAGTGGTTACTTAACACCTTGGCTGTGACTTTCCCGGCCTCAGACAGAGTCCACGGGTTTCACCCCTTGTATTTCATTCATGCATTTTGGTTTCAAAGAATTGCTGCGCTCCATTCTGGACAGCAGAGGCGGGCAGGGGAGTGGAAGGCAGAGAGGAAAGGAAGTGCCAAGACTCTGTGGGCACACCTCGGCCTCCTACCTACCCTTAGAGTGTCCGAGCCAGAGGCAGCTCCACGGTCTTCCTGCCTCCTGGGAAAACTCCCAACCAAAGGTGTTTACCCTTTAAGTGGGGAAGAAGGATCCACACAGGAAACAGATCTTGTGAGCCAAAGATGGGACAAGTGCAAACAGCAGGGTCACCTATCTACTAGCCTGTTTGATGGAGGAAGAGCCCACAGGGTGCTGTTTCTTAACTCTGAATAATGTACAGGCACCTTTCAAAGCCAAGCCATCCTTTCCCCCACTTATGTCCTCAGACACGTTTTCCGTCTGACTTGAGAAACTTGTCTTATTCTTTAAAGGTCTAGGGTGGGCGTGAGCATGCTACTGCACTCCAGCCTGGGTGACAGAGTGAGATTCCAACTCAAAAAAAAAAAGGTCTTCCAACTGCCTAGGTGTGGGGACTCACATTGCAGTACCAGCTACTTAGGAGGCTGAGGTGGAAGGATTGCTTGAGCCCAGGAGGTCAAGATTACAGTGATCTGTGATCATACCATTGTACTCCAGTCTGGGTGACAGAGTGAGAACCTGACTCCAAAAAAATTTTTTTTCAACGATATATTATCATTGCAAAAGAAAACTTTGTCTTTATAAGGTTATAAAATGTTCTGGATTATCATTTCAAAATTCCCATAGAAGTTATGAACCCCTGAGATGTTTGTAACCCCCTGGAGTTTGCAGGCCTGTTTCAGAAGCATTGCAACAGTGAATAAAAAAAAATTGTAGCTCCTATACTTAGAATTGGAAGGAACATTAAAGAGTATCTAGTTCAACCTCTGCTTCAGTGTAGAAGTCCTTTCTCTCACACTGAGGACTTTCTGCTTCCATATGTCCAGTGACAAATTATTCAGCTCATGCATCCTCTAATCCTCTGAAATCATCAGTTCCTTTCCTGGAAACCTGTAATGTTTAAATATCGGGGCTCTTTAGTCAAAGTTGTGTTTGAATTCTGGTTTGTTGCTGTGAGATCTGGGGCAAGCCACTTAACTTCAATGAGCCTCAGTTTCCTTATCTGTTACCTGCCTCTTGCGGCGGCTGTGAAAGTCGATGAAATCATGAAGATGAGGGCTCACTGGGCACAGTACCTGGAGTAGAGTAAGAACTCAAGAAATGTTACCAAGTAAATCTATTAGTTAACAATTATTTTATTGATACATAATAGACATACATATTTTGGGAGTACCTGTGGTCATTTAATACATTTATGTATAAAGATCAAATCAGGTAATTGAACGACCTATCACTTTAAATATTTGTCTTTTTCTCTGATGCTAGAAACATTTTAATTCTTCTCTTCTAGCTAGTAAATCTTTTTTTTTTTTTTTTTTGAGTTGGAGTCTCACTCCATTGCCCAGACTGGAGTGCGGGGGCCCCTCCTGGCCACCGCAACCTTGACCTGGTGGGCTCCGGTGATCCTTCCGCCTCAGCCTTCCGAGTAGCCGGAATTACAGGCACGTGCTACCACGCCCAACTGATTTTTTTAATTTATTGTAGAGATGATGTCTCGCCAAATTGCCCAAGCGGGTCTCGAACCCACGGGCTCAGGCAATCCACTCACCTCGGCCTCCCAAGGCACGGGATTACAGGCTGAGCCACCGAGCCCAGCTTAGCTAGTAAATCTATTAGATTGATGCAGCCCATCGTAGCCTGGCATTTTGTTTCCTCGTTGGTCCCCATAAGCCCTTGAGAGCAGAGCCATCTCTCTCCATTTTTTTTTTTTTTGAGTTGGAGTCTCCCAAAGCGTGGGATTATAGGCTGAGCCATTGAGCCCAGCTTTTTTTTTTTTTTTT